TTAATGTTACATAAATCACACAAGCTAGTCAAAATACTATTACTGAACACAGGACCATTATCTAAAAGAATTATTTTTGGCATACTATATCTATAAATTATTTGGCCATGGAATGCACTGGCTATAGTTTCTGCCGTTTTGTTCAGGATAGGAAGAATTTTGCAATACCAAGACAAATTGTCAACCATTAGGAACAAGTGTTTATTTCCTTTTCTGTTTCTGCAAAATTGGTCAACAAATCCATTGATACTTGTTCCCAAGGTACTTTAATCGCTGGGTACACATGAATTGAGTTAGGTCCCATGACGTGTCCCTTGTACTGTAAACAGCTTAAACATCTGTCAACATAATGAGCAAAATCTTTAGCCATTTTTGGCCAAAAATACTTCAACTGACCTTGTTGGAGTGTACGATCCTTCCCTGGATGTTCACTTGCGGGAGCATCATGGATAACCTTTAACACAGTTGGTGCCAAGACAGCTGGAACAACTAACTGACAACACTTCCTCGGGGGTGTCTCTACCTTTACTACTCTACACAGTAAATTGTCTAACATCACTAACTCTTTCAATGGTACTGGAGGTTTATGAATATGACGAATATCTTGCTTAGTCAAAAATTTAATGACAGGTGCCCATATGGGGCCTTGTCTCTGTTCTGTCTCGACTACTGTAGCATCTAATGCTGGGTAATTTACATGAACTGCAGCTTCGTGTCGAGAAAAAAGCATAAGCTACAACAGTTTTCCTGGGATATAACCAAATGCGCGATTGAACTCTTGAATTGTGAGCAAATATCTAGCAAACTTTCTGATGGGATTCTTATTCTTGAACAAAGGAATTAATGGTTGGTGATCTGTCAGAACATGAGCTGGATAATTATAAATTATATCCCTGAAATGTTTTAGAGCCCATACAACTGCTAAAACTTCACGTTCTGTTGCACTATAATTTTTCTCTTCTTTAGATAATGTACAGCTAGCAGAAGTTATTGTGTGAACTCTGTGACCTTCTGTTTGAAGTAATGCGGCACCTAAGTCTATGTCACTAGCATCTGTGACCAACATAAAAGATTTAGAAAAATCTGTGTACCTGGTTGATCTCGTCACCTGTGTACAGGTGACGAGATCAGTGCTTCTTTGAGCTTTTAAAATGACTGTTCTTGGGCGTCTTCCCAAACAAAGGGTTCATCTTTTCTTAGGAATTTATAAAGTGGAGCGGCTATGATAGAGAATCCAGCAATAAATGAATGAATGATAAAATCCTCCGAGACCTGTGAACTGCCTCATGGCTTCTGTGGTACAAGGTGTTGGAAAATCACAAGCAGCAATAATTTTGTATTCATGCAAGGTAATGCGTGAAGCTGTGACTGTATGACCTGGGAAATTAATCTTCTCCTTAAAAATTAACACTTTGAGAGTTTTAGTTTTAAATTTGCTTCTGCAAGCTTTGCAAGTACTTTCTCAAGGTTCTGGAAATGAGTCTGAACATATTACGACATGACTGAGATCATCAAGGTACACCAGAAGACTACTGCCTATCAATCTACGAAATAGGTTCGTTTTGAACCTTGAAAAGGTTATTGGACTACTCTGTAGCCCGAACGGCATTGTTTTGAAATGAAAATGACCATTGGGAGTACTAAAGACTGTCAACTGTTTACTTTCCCCATCGAGTGGGATTTGCCTGAATCCCTGCAATAACTCTTAACATTGAAAATACTTTGTTTTGGCCTATACTTTGCTACAAATTATTTAAGATCGGAAGTGTGAAATGGTCAAGTATAGTTACTCTGTTAAGCTTCCGATAGTCAATTACCAGTCTCCATGTCCCATCTTGTTTCGGTACAAGAATCAATGGAGCGTTCCATGGGGAATTACTCGACTCAGTCACATCACCTTGTAACATTTCTTCTATGAGTCTATCAGCTTCTGCTCTCTGAGAATGCGGTAGATGGTAAGCTGGCGCATAAATTGGTCTAGTTCCTTGCTCAAGGGGAATTTTATGCATAATAAGAGGAGTAAGACCTAACTTTTCTCCTGGTAGAGCTACAACTGCTGTTTCTTGTTCAAAATTTCCAAAAGTTGAACCATGGAGTTAGGGAAAATCAGTCGGATTGAGGCTGAGACATGAGGATTGAGGCATTAGCATCTCTGGCTGAGATCCACATACCCCTGGGGTGAGTGTACACACAGGATGTCCCACGGAGACATCGTCCACCACTCTCACTGGTAACGAGTAATGGGGAAAATGTATAACATGGTTGCCAGACTGGAGAGGGATGTTGGCACTAATAGTGTTTTCAATTTACAATGTAATGGTACCATTCTGCACTGTGAGCCAGGAGGGTTCAACAAACGTACCGTTTACTTTACACATTTCATTTACTGAGATAACCACCGATAACTCAGGCACTCCCTGAACCTTAACTCTTACTCTTGTGAGAGAATGAAAGTGCATCACAGTGTCAGCAGCTGTGGAACCACTGACCTCAGAGATGGAAGCTGCTAGGCGAACAAGACAACGAGAATCCGTTAGGTCGTCCTCCTCCAGAAAGTCTTGATACTCACTCTCCTGAGCAACTCACAATTGAGTGCCTGTTTTCTCAGGTATGCTACTGCAACAAGGATCTGGCAAACCAACACTAGTAAGTTGGCTGTCGACAAAATGAACATAATCTGTCTGGGTTGAACTCATGACCCTGTCGATCTGTGCTACATAAGGGAACGAAGTGAGCCTTGATACCAATGTTCCAAAGTTGGGGAACAATTCAATATTTTCATCAATCATGGTATTCAAATCTAAAAGAATGTCATCGGCAAAATGGATACTGCCAATAACTAGGCATGTTACAGACAGGATGTGATGTCCATTAACTTGAGTCCTTTTCCCTCTTAACTGTTACTTTATTTCCTGAAACACTACTCAGAAAAAGTATAAGTGATTTTCGTACTATGACAGAGTGCCTACTTGCAATATCTCTAAGAGCTAAAGGCCTGACAATATTTATCTTAGTACCTGAATCAACAAAGACTTTTACAATTCTACCATGTACTTGGGCTGAGACTAACGGACCATCACTCAAAACTGTACAATTCACTGCTTGTGACTTATGTTGCCTAGGTTGTCTGCATCTCATCTGGGTCAAACTCACTCGGGTTCTGTCAACATCTACAACTGGTCTAGTATCAGTGTCCTCCTCTGTCAAGTGTTCAAAATTATTTTGGGTAGCTACTGAGTAAACAGAGAGGGCACTAGGACTGGCTAACTTGAATTGGTTAGAGGGTGGCATTGATGGTTTCCCGATGACGTGGAGTGAACATTCTGAGCTCCAGTGTTCTGTCACTGAGTATTGTAATTTGACTGATTATTGTAATTACGCAAGTTCTCATACTGTCTTGGATGCTGTGCGCCTCACCAAGACTGACCATGGCAGCTACAAGGTGGGGATGACCTTTGCCGAGCTCTACAATCTGCAGCATAGTGGCCAATTTGTTTATAATAATTACAGTATGGGAGCCTAGAGTTATTAGAATGACGAGGAGACCAAGAAAATTGTTTTGGGGGGGGAGGGGGGGGGGTGATCTAGGTGCGGACCAGCAGTCCTTTGCCAAATGGTTTGTTTTTCAACAATGCCAACATGAGGGAGTAGGTGATCGTGAACTAGAGCATCCGGGCAATTTATCAGGAGAGTTTGACTACAGGCTGCGACCAAGAATTTTGTGAATTTGTGGGAGGAGGGCGTTGATGGTTTGTTATGTAACTTATCTGCCACATTATTCATGGCCTCAAACCCTTCCCCAAGTTTGTGTTCTGAACCAAAATTCTGCTGTTCTAGGATAGGTTTAGTGTACTCTGGGGCAAAATGCATTTAAGTCCCAAATGCTATAATTTTGGCCATTGCCACTGGGGTAAGTGATTTGTTTTCATCTACCCACGATGAACTCAACATGGCAGTCTCTGAAGCATACAAATACTGGTCCAATCTGCAAGTAAACACATTATAGGATTCACCAGGTTGCATGTTGGCATTGACAATTTTCTAAACTAATCTGTATGGGTCCAGGTCTCCTTTGTTAACAAAACGTCGGTGGAAAAATTCTTTAAAGTCTGCCCATGACTGGAGACTAACAATGACTGTCTCATCAACCACAAACCGTGCATCACCTTTGGTGGTGTCAACAGACGACCAAGCAAATGCTAAATAATCATCATCAGAAGACTCTGAAAAACGAGCTGTGGCCTTCGCTTCAACTTTGCTAAACCATGATACCAATAGGTGAGATTCTCCAGCAAAAAGCAGAATAAACACTTCCTGCGCTGAACGCTGGACATTAGTACGAGCAACTGCTCCACTTGAGTCAGCAGGAGAGGCAACAGTGGCAGGCATTGTCATTAAAGTGGAATTTACCTTGGAACGAAAATTATAATTAGGCACACTAGGCATAAAAATAGAATGTACAAAAATTACACATCACTCAAAATATCAAATAAAATATATAAAATGTAGTGAGGCAAAACTAAATAATTGTAATACAAGCAAAATTGTAAATTAAATTAGCAATCTGGTATGAATATGACTTGAAATTGTAGTTATGTAATTAATTGAAGCAGTCTAAGCACAACAAATTAGATTATAACACTGGAAGGTGTAATGGTAATTTAAACAATAATAACCAACAAGAGGATGCCACACTCAACATGTGGCAACAAGAGGATGCCACACTCAACATGTGGCAACAAGAGGATGCCACACTCAACATGTGGCAACAAGAGGATGCAACACTCAACATGTGGCAACAAGAGGATGCCACACTCAACATGTGGCAACAAGAGGATGCCACACTCAACATGTGGCAACAAGAGGATGCCACACTCAACATATGGCAACAAGAGGATGCCACACTCAACATGTGGCAACAAGAGGATGCCACACTCAACATGTGGCAACAAGAGGATGCCACACTCAACATGTGACAACAAGAGGATGCAACACTCAACATGTGGCAACAAGAGGATGCCACACTCAACATGTGGCAACAAGAGGATGCCACACTCAACATGTGGCAACAAGAGGATGCCACACTCAACATGTGGCAACAAGAGGATGCCACACTCAACATGTGGCAACAAGAGGATGCCACACTCAACATGTGGCAACAAGAGGATGCAACACTCAACATGTGGCAACAAGAGGATGCAACACTCAACATGTGGCAACAAGAGGATGCCACACTCAACATATGGCAACAAGAGGATGCAACACTCAACATGTGGCAACAAGAGGATGCCACACTCAACATGTGGCAACAAGAGGATGCCACACTCAACATATGGCAACAAGAGGATGCCACACTCAACATGTGGCAACAAGAGGATGCCACACTCAACATGTGGCAACAAGAGGATGCAACACTCAACATGTGGCAACAAGAGGATGCAACACTCAACATGTGGCAACAAGAGGATGCCACACTCAACATGTGGCAACAAGAGGATGCCACACTCAACATATGGCAACAAGAGGATGCCACACTCAACATGTGGCAACAAGAGGATGCAACACTCAACATGTGGCAACAAGAGGATGCCACACTCAACATATGGCAACAAGAGGATGCAACACTCAACATGTGGCAACAAGAGGATGCCACACTCAACATGTGGCAACAAGAGGATGCCACACTCAACATGTGGCAACAAGAGGATGCCACACTCAACATGTGGCAACAAGAGGATGCCACACTCAACATGTGGCAACAAGAGGATGCCACACTCAACATATGGCAACAAGAGGATGCCACACTCAACATACGGCAACAAGAGGGTGCAACACTCAACATGTGGCAACAAGAGGATGCAACACTCAACATGTGGCAACAAGAGTGTGCAACACTCAACATGTGGCAACAAGAGGATGCAACACTCAACATATGGCAACAAGAGGATGCAACACTCAACATGTGGCAACAAGAGGATGCAACACTCAACATGTGGCAACAAGAGGATGCCACACTCAACATGTGGCAACAAGAGGATGCCACACTCAACATGTGGCAACAAGAGGATGCAACACTCAACATATGGCAACAAGAGGATGCCACACTCAACATGTGGCAACAAGAGGATGCAACACTCAACATGTGGCAACAAGAGGATGCCACACTCAACATATGGCAACAAGAGGATGCTCAGTAATACAATGCAGTAACAATGGAACCAAAGAAAAGCAACATGTAATACAGGAAATATGGGTTTGGCACTAAAACAAACTAGTATAAATATTAGACACAAGTAAATGTAAGACTTAAAGTGTCAACATGCTATGGTAACACAAATGTCAATACTGAGAACAAACTTCAAAGTAAGGTGTGAAGAAGTATAAAAAATGTTCTACTGTGCAAGTCCTTAACTGCTGAAAATACTATTATTTCTTACTTTTCTGAACTTTGAATTTACTAGTAACACTTAAGGAACACAAATACTCTAGGACTGGTACAATATTGGTGAATATTGAGACTCCGTGGGTGTGGCGGGTGGCGGGTGGCGGGTGGCGGGTGTGGACGGCGATGAGTGGGCACTTGAGGTTCTGGATCAGGAAAACAAAACTGAATCCCACCGCTGCTTCCAGTATTGGTTACCTTGTCGTCCATGTTTGCTTGGTTGAGAAGAGATACACGCTGGTTCACTTCAAGTAGTTTATTGAGTAAGGTACTTAAGATATATATGTGAAGCACCGAGGTCCTGCGGTCCTGCCTTTGACTACGTCTGTGAGATACTGACGGCCTACTTCAGAGCGGCCAGTGCCTGGTCTGTGGGAATGACGTCAGAGGCCTACTGGTCCCGGATTGGCTATTCACTGTCTTACAATTTGAGTGTTAACAGTTTTAGAGACATCCGACACATAAGGTGTACATTATATTGACTAACAAACATATGTACGGTGTTAATCTCGTCTCCTCCGCCACATATTACCTAACATGTACTAACATAGTTATACCTGCAAGATCGAACTTCAGCTCTTGGAACCCCACCTTTCCCAGTGTCAGTTCTCAAATGCAATGAATTCGACTCCTCCTCATGATTCCTACTGATTTCCTCACTGATAAATGGCGTTAATCTGATTTCTTTATGCATGTGTTGATGTCACATCATCTATATTTAAAGTTGTGAGTGAGAATGGCCACTATGACGTCGTTTACTTCATTACATTTTCTACTGTTGCACTTTACATATACTTTCACGTGTGTGAACGTGCGTTCATGTGTGTCTCACTAATGACTGGGGTTTACCTGTCAGCGTACCTGCTGGTGGTGCCGACGTCGTCAGGAGTGGTGGGACAGGTCCTGCGGGTGGCCGAGACGGAGGGCGTCACACGGCACGCTGCATTCTTCATCCTCGACCCGCTCTACGCCCCCACGCCCACACACGCCACCAGGTTCCGCGCCTTCAAGCAGTTATCGGAAATGCCGACCGAGGCAGCCAGAGCTGTGATGGTCCTGGCTGCCGCCACCAGAGGGCCACCCAACATGGCCACCAGAGGGCCACCCAACATGGCCACCAGAGGGCCACCCAACATGGCCACCAGAGGGCCACCCAACATGGCCACCAGAGGGCCACCCAACATGGCCACCAGAGGGCCACCCAACATGGCCACCAGAGGGCCACCCAACATGGCCACCAGGGACCCACAAGACTCCAAGACAGACTCTCACACCTCCTCACCCAGCCTCGACTCACCACCCGGGGACCATAGTAAGAGAAAAGAAGGGAAAGAAAGCCAACAAAATGGAAGAGAAGGAAAAGGAAGAAATGTTATCCCGCAGGCAACACCATCGTCCAATCTTAACCAATCAGCGGCCTCGGAGGTAAGGAGTTAAAATACCTCAATGAACCGTGAGACGCATCGGCTAATCAGAAACCTCGCAGGTAAGAAGTTATCATACCTTGGGAACCATGAGACTCATCGACCAATCAGAAACCTCGCAGGTAAGAGTTATCATACCTAAGCATCCGTGAGACTCATCGACCAATCAGAAACCTCGCAGGTAAGAGTTATCATACCTCAACCCGTTCTCGCAAATTTAATAAGTCAATATTGACTTATTAAATATGTGCATAGGTGACATACTTAACATAATAGATACCCTTAAAAAGCTTCATAGAAAACACCGACCTTACCTAACCTACTTAGTATGTTAAGATAAGCATCTTATTGCTTCGTAATTACAATTATTACCTAACCTATAATAGGTATAGGTTTAGTAATAATTGTAATTACGAAGCAATAAGATGCTTATCTTAAGATACTAACAAGGTTAGGTAAGGTCGGTGTTTTCTATGAATCTTTTTAAGGGTATCTATTATGTTTAGTATATCACCTATGCACGTAGTTAATAAGTCAATATTGACTATACGAATTTGCGAGAACGGGTTGCATACCTAAGCATCCGTGAGACTCATCGACCAATCAGAAACCTCGCAGATAAGAAGTTATCATACCTAGGCATCCGTGAGACTCATCGACCAATCAGAAACCTCGCAGGTAAGAAGTTATCATACCTAAGCAGCCATGAGACACTCCATTGACCAATAGTACACCAGCAGTCAACCGTGAGGCTCCGTGTCGACCAGACGGAGGAAGTCAAACGAAGCATTCGTCGCATGTTTAATAGAAAATGCTTAAATAATATTGGGTATGTTTTCAGTTTATGGGAGAAATTTGAATATTGATAAATTTATAGGGTCAGTTGAGTGCTGCTGGATCTGTTTTATTTGACTTTATTAATCGGTGAAGTATTTTGCTAGGCTTTATATCTCTCTGAAGAAAGTAGTGAATTTATTATAAAACATTATAAGTCCTGACAAAGTAGTGTATTTGCTATAATACATTATATAGACAGATACACAGACACTGACACAGACACTGACACTGACACAGACACTGACACTGACACTGACACAGACACTGACACAGACACTGACACTGACACTGACACTGACACAGACACTGACACTGACACAGACACTGACACTGACACTGACACTGACACAGACACTGACACTGACACAGACACTGACACAGACACTGACACAGACACTGACACTGACACTGACGCAGACGCAGACACAGACACAATCAGGCAGGTAAACAGCCAGACAGCCCAGTGACTACCACAAGGGAACCAGAGCCTCACGGTGACACCACCAGGACCCCCAAAATAACAACTCCACTTACAACGAGGCAAGTGTAAGACCCTGGCCTCGTCGAGCGCAGTGTACACCATCCTCAGTAACACTATAGTGTCCAGCCACCACACACACAACACTATAGTGTCCAGCCACCACACACAACACTATAGTGTCCAGCCACCACACACAACACTATAGTGTCCAGCCACCACACACAACAACACTATAGTGTCCAGCCACCACACACAACACTATAGTGTCCAGCCACCACACACAACAACACTATAGTGTCCAGCCACCACACACAACAACACTATAGTGTCCAGCCACCACACACAACACTATAGTGTCCAGCCACCACACTCACAACACTGTAGTGTCCAGCCACCACACTCACAACACTATAGTGTCCAGCCACCACACACAACACTATAGTGTCCAACCACCACACACAACACTATAGTGACCAGCCACCACACACAACACTATAGTGACCAGCCACCACACACAACAACACTATAGTGACCAGCCACCACACACAACAACACTGTAGTGACCAGCCACCACACACAACACTATAGTGTCCAGCCACCACACACAACACTATAGTGACCAGCCACCACACACAACAACACTATAGTGACCAGCCACCACACACAACACTATAGTGACCAGCCACCACACACAACAACACTATAGTGACCAGCCACCACACACAACAACACTGTAGTGACCAGCCACCACACACAACACTATAGTGTCCAGCCACCACACACAGCACTATAGTGTCCAACCACCACACACAACAACACTATAGTGACCAGCCACCACACACAACACTATAGTGACCAGCCACCACACACAACAACACTATAGTGACCAGCCACCACACACAACAACACTGTAGTGACCAGCCACCACACACAACACTATAGTGTCCAGCCACCACACACAACACTATAGTGACCAGCCACCACACACAACAACACTATAGTGACCAGCCACCACACAGAACACTATAGTGACCAGCCACCACACACAACAACACTATAGTGTCCTGCCACCACACACAACACTATAGTGTCCAGCCACCACACAACACTATAGTGTCCAGCCACCACACACAACACTATAGTGTCCAGCCACCACTCACAACACTATAGTGTCCAGCCACCACACACAACAACACTATAGTGACCAGCCACCACACACAACACTATAGTGTCCAGCCACCACACACAACACTATAGTGTCCAGCCACCACACACAACACTATAGTGTCCAGCCACCACACACAACACTATAGTGACCAGCCACCACACACAACAATACTGTAGTGTCCAGCCACCACACACAACACTATAGTGTCCTGCCACCACACACAACAACACTATAGTGACCAGCCTCCACACACAACACTATAGTGACCAGCCACCACACACAACACTATAGTGTCCAGCCACCACACACAACACTATAGTGTCCAGCCACCACACACAACACTATAGTGTCCAGCCACCACACACAACACTATAGTGACCAGCCACCACACACAACACTATAGTGTCCAGCCACCACACACAACACTATAGTGTCCAGCCACCACACACAACAACACTATAGTGTCCAGCCACCACACACAACACTATAGTGTCCAACCACCACACACAACAACACTATAGTGACCAGCCACCACACACAACACTATAGTGACCAGCCACCACACACAACAACACTATAGTGACCAGCCACCACACACAACAACACAGTAGTGACCAGCCACCACACACAACACTATAGTGTCCAGCCACCACACACAACACTATAGTGACAAGCCACCACACACAACAACACTATAGTGACCAGCCACCACACACAACACTATAGTGACCAGCCACCACACACAACAACACTATAGTGACCAGCCACCACACACAACAACACTACAGTGACCAGCCACCACACACAACACTATAGTGTCCAGCCACCACACACAGCACTATAGTGTCCAACCACCACACACAACAACACTATAGTGACCAGCCACCACACACAACACTATAGTGACCAGCCACCACACACAACAACACTATAGTGACCAGCCACCACACACAACAACACTGTAGTGACCAGCCACCACACACAACACTATAGTGTCCAGCCACCACACACAACACTATAGTGACCAGCCACCACACACAACAACACTATAGTGACCAGCCACCACACAGAACACTATAGTGACCAGCCACCACACACAACAACACTATAGTGTCCTGCCACCACACACAACACTATAGTGTCCAGCCACCACACACAACACTATAGTGTCCAGCCACCACACACAACACTATAGTGACCAGCCACCACACACAACACTATAGTGACCAGCCACCACACACAACACTATAGTGTCCAGCCACCACACACAACACTATAGTGTCCAGCCACCACACACAACACTATAGTGACCAGCCACCACACACAACAACACTGTAGTGTCCAGCCACCACACACAACACTATAGTGTCCTGCCACCACACACAACAACACTATAGTGACCAGCCTCCACACACAACACTATAGTGACCAGCCACCACACACAACACTATAGTGTCCAGCCACCACACACAACAACACTATAGTGACCAGCCACCACACACAACACTATAGTGTCCAGCCACCACACACAACAACACTATAGTGACCAGCCACCACACACAACACTATAGTGTCCAGCCACCACACACAACACTATAGTGTCCTGCCACCACACACAACACTATAGTGTCCAGCCACCACACACAACACTATAGTGACCAGCCACCACACACAACAACACTATAGTGACCAGCCACCACACACAACAACACTATAGTGACCAGCCACCACACACAACAACACTATAGTGACCAGCCACCACACACAACACTATAGTGACCAGCCACCACACACAACACTATAGTGTCCAGCCACCACACACAACACTATAGTGACCAGCCACCACACACAACACTATAGTGACCAGCCACCACACACAACACTATAGTGTCCAGCCACCACACACAACACTATAGTGACCAGCCACCACACACAACACTATAGTGACCAGCCACCACACACAACACTATAGTGACCAGCCACCACACACAACACTATAGTGACCAGCCACCACACACAACACTATAGTGTCCAGCCACCACACACAACACTATAGTGACCAGCCACCACACACAACACTATAGTGTCCAGCCACCACACACAACACTATAGTGACCAGCCACCACACACAACACTATAGTGTCCTGCCACCACACACAACACTATAGTGTCCAGCCACCACACACAACAACACTATAGTGACCAGCCACCACACACAACACTATAGTGACCAGCCACCACACACAACACTATAGTGTCCAGCCACCACACACAACACTATAGTGTCCAGCCACCACACACAACAACACTATAGTGACCAGCCACCACACACAACAACACTACAGTGACCAGCCACCACACACAACAACACTATAGTGTCCAGCCACCACACACAACACTATAGTGTCCAGCCACCACACACAACACTATAGTGTCCAGCCACCACACACAACAACACTATAGTGTCCTGCCACCACACACAACAACACTATAGTGTCCAGCCACCACACACAAC